CCAGCGCGGAGACAGACTCGGACAGGTCCTGAGCAGGTGCCGACCGCGGTGCCCTCTGTTCGGCGAGGCGGAGTCTCTTGCACATGGCAACAACCCTGAGGAACCGATGTCCTGCGACCACAGGGGGTGGAAAGGGATGAACTTGCCACGGTTCGGACGTCCAGTCCCCTTTCATGTTCGGTTTCGTGCGTTTCCTTTCCACGGGATGTTCCAGGATGCTCCTTGATGGTCCTCGCCAAGAAAATTGCACACGTCCGAACGATGCCAAGTGAACCCGGGCCCCAGGAGGCCCGAATGTGCGCGAAAACCTGGGCATAGAGAAAGAAACGCCTGCTCGGACATGAGCTTTGAAAGCTGCGCGCGGAGTTCTGGCACAAGAGCTGAAACCACTCCTTGGCGCGCGGAGCGCGCCAGAGCCGGCGCTGGAGGCGCTGCCAAGGAGTTTCAGCACGAATCCTAGAACTCTGCGCGGACCTCCGAAAGCTTTGTGTATGCAGCTTTGTCCTTCTGCGAGTGACCCCAGGGGGTGGAAATGGATGCACAGGAGCCACAGGTGGCCCGAATGCGTTCCAAGACATAATGTGAATATTGGCAGCGAGCCCTGGGGGAAAGTGAGAATGGGCGGGCCTTCTCAAAGGCTCGGCAGTCCCCGGGCCTTCTGAGAAGCTTTCCGAGCCTTCCCCGAAGACACCGAAAACCACTCGAACGGCCGGAGGGCTTCTGAGAGGCGTGCGCAGAGGCACACGAGTTCACGGAGCGTGCACACACGGCAGCAGCAGCAGCAGTAGCAGCAGCAGCAGCAGCCGCAGCAGCAGCAGCAGCAGCAGCAGCAGCCGCAGCCGCAGCCGCGGCCGCGGCAGCAGCAGCGAGGACGCACGACGCACGGGGGCAGCGGCAGGAGCCCCGCGGCGGCAGGAGGCCGCGCGGGGGACGGGGCTGCCGGGGGGAAGCCCCGGGCCGGGCCCGCAGCCCTGCCGGGAGCGGGCCGCCGCAGCCTCGGGGAAGAAGGGGGAGGAGGAGGAGGAGGAGGAGGAGGAGGAGGAGGAGGAGGAGGAGGAGGAGGAGGAGGAGGAGGCACGGGCGGGGCGCCCGGGGGGCGGCTCCTTGTGCTCGTCGGTGTACGCGGCCTCGGAGGCGCCGCGGGGCGGCGAGCCAAGGGCGCCACGGCGGGGCCGTCGCGGCCGCCGCCGACGCCGTCGCCCTCGCCGACGTCCTCGTCCTCGTCGCCCGCAGGGCTTCCGCCCTTCTCCATGCGAAGTCTCCTGCCTCCTACGGGGACGCACTGACCCGGGTGAATGCAAACCCTGGTCAGTCGGGCCTTGCAGGATCCTGCAGGATCCTGCGGGATTCTGCACCCAAACCGGGGTCAATGCAGCCCTGGCCATGCAGGACCCTGCAAGATCCGGCGCTCTTGCTGACCCACGTTTGCATTGACCCCCGTCTCTTGAGCCCCGGCTTCTCCCCCGTCCGACTTTTCTGGAATGGTACTCTGGCACGGTTCAGGACCAGTCACGCAAGAAGAACGCTAATCCGTGGCGTCGAAATCCCAGTCCTCCTCTTGCCCTTCGTCCTCCTCATCTTCCTGCAGCGTAGCCGAGGGCGGGCAGTCCCTCAGTCTCGGTTACTCGCAGACGGCGCTCTGGCCAGCTGCCATCGGACCAGCGGCGCAAGCTCATAGGCCGACAGTTCCGCAAGGCCTGTTCAACTGTGCGTTGAGGTCGTCCTGAGGGCGCTGTGAGGAAATATCCAGCGATCATTCCGAGGAAGGCCGAGGAAGAAGGAGCGCGGAGACCCCAAGCCTCGAGAGGGCAGCAAGGGAGGGGACGATCAAAGCTCGCGGATACAAGCATCCGAAGAATCGGACATAGTCAGCAGTGCAAGACTAAGTCATTGCAGTGTCGCCTCCTCCTCCTCCTCCTCCTCCTCCTCCTCCTCATACTCCTCATCATACTTCTCCTCCTCCTCCTCATCTGCATCCTCGCCATCACCATCAGCATCACCATCATAAGCAGAACACCAGCAGCATCATCCTCATCCTCATCCTCATCCCCATCCCCATCCCCATGCACATCCCCAGGCCCATCCTCCTCCTCCTCCTCATCCTCCTCCACCTCTTCCTCCTCCACCTCCTACTTCTCATACTCCTCCTCCTCCTCCTCCTCCTCCCTCCTCCTCCTCCTCCTCCTCATCATCATCATCATCATCATCATCATCATCATCATCATCCTCATCATCATCATCATCATCATCATCATCTCATCACTCATCATCATCATCATCTATCATCATCATCATCATCATCATCATCATCATCATCATCATCATCATCCTCTTCCTCCTCCTCCTCCTCCTCCTCCTCCTCCTCCTCCTCCTCCTCTTCCTCCTCCTCCTCCATCCCCGTCTCCTCCGCCTCCTCCTCCTCTTTTTGTGGTTCGTTATCGGCTGATTTGATGTTAATCTCCTCCTCCTCCTCGTGATCTTCCCTGCCGTCCTCCCCCAAGCGTTTCCCGAAGAGTGTCCCTTCTTCTTCCTCCTCCTCCTCCCCTTACTACCATTAGTAGTATCATTCGTTGTATGCGTATTTTGCTCATGCTTACTATGAGTATTATGTTCGGTAGTACCATGATTAGCTGAATCATCCTTAGAAATATTCGTATAACATTATAATACTACAATGCCATACTTAGTATTAGTTCTCGTATCAGTGTTGGTGCTATGATTAGTGTTACACAAACTCGTCGTGCCAATTTGAGTACTAATATTAATATGATGCGTAGTCGCATGAATCGCACTCGTCTTATTAATATTCGTCTCAGTCTTCTGTTTATGTGCAGTCATGATATGATCCGTCGTACCAGTAGTATTACTCCTAGTATTATTCCTCCTCTTCCTCCTCCTCTTCCTCCTCCTCCTCCCGAACTCCTCCCGACCTCCTCCTGACCTCCTCCTCATCATCCTCCTCCTCCGCCTCCTCCTCCTCTTCCTCCTCCCCCCCTCCTCCTCATCATCATCCTCCTCCTCATCAGCATCCTCCTCCTCCTCCTCCTCCTCCTCACCCTCCTCACCCTCCTCGCCTTCCTCACCCTCCTCACCCTCCCCCCGCGGGCCTTCTCCGCCTTCCGCACACCAGTGGCTGCCTGCGCCGAGGGTGCTGAGGGAAGGGGGCGCGCCGACCGCCGCTGTCGCCGCCGCCGTCTGCGTCGTCGCCGTCGTCGCGGTCGACGTCGACGGCGATGGCGGCGTCGGGGTCGTCGCCACGGCTGGCCAGATCGCCACGGGCGAAGCAGGCGGAGGGAGACGGCGGAAAGAAGAGAGACAGGGAGAAAGAGATGGGGGGAAAGGAGGAGGAGGAGGAGGAGCAGGAGCAGAAGGAGGAGGAGGAGGAGGAGGAGGGGAAAGAGGAGGAGGGGATCTGCCAGGAAACGCGCTTCCAAGACCGAGAAGGCGCCTCGTGGCGCGACTGTGCACCGCGCGCGCGCGGGCCTCGCGCGGGGGTGGACGATAAGAGGCGCCTGGAAGCACAGAAGGGCGGAGTCCGCCGCGAGATGTGCACGATGAGTTCATGTGGGATGCCCCGGAGCGTGAGACCCCCTTGTGGAATCCTCAGAATTCCGTAGGAACTCCGAAGGGGTCCTCAAGAATTCCTCGGGTGCCTGAGGACATCCCGTAGAATTCGGGGGCGTCCCATCCCGCATTGCGTCCTCGTGGTTGCGGGGGGGGATCCTTGGGGTTTGCAAGGATTCCTTACGGAATTCTCCAGGCTCGTGTTCCTGAAGAAATCCATGGGGCTCCTCCGAAATCCCCCGAGGGGTCCGAAGAAAACCCTGAGGAGTCTGGGGGAATCCAACGGGTTCCAAACGAAAGTGGTCGGAGTCCTTGGTGAATCCTGGGGGCGTCCCTGAAAGATCCATGATTGAACACAGCCAGACAATAAAACTATGACATGTAAACTTATGTGCACCAAATATGCACGTCGCATGGATTATGCGTACATGCGAAAACTCTCGAAGCAGTACTTGCACGTTGGGATTCGTGCCGCTCTGGCGGCCATCTAGCCGCCGTCGCCGCCCCGTCGCAGCCCGTCTGCGCCTCGTCGCCGCACGTCGTCTGGGCCGGCGTGCCTGTCTGGCGGCTCTGTAACCAACGTCGCCGCCCCGTCGCGACCTAGTCGCCAATCGCCGCCGCCGTCAGATTGCACCACACACATTGCTCTGCGTTGCTTCGCATTGCTTTGCATTGCGTTGCTTTGCCTTGCTTTGCAAGGCTTTTCATTGCTTTGCATTGCTTTGCATTGCACTGTTTGGTATTGATGTTCGTCGCTTTACGTTGCATCGTTGTGTATTGTGTTGCTTACCGTCGCTGCCTCTGGACCGCATAGATTGCACAACATATGTTGCACAACATGCATCGCACGACACAGGATTGCACAGCATCGGTTGCAACGCATATATTGCACCACATAGATCGCAACGCAGAATTTGCACCCCATAGGTTGCACAGCAGAGATAGCACCGCATAGAATTCACCACATAGATGGCACCACACAGATTGTTCCACTTAGGTTGCACCCCAGAAGGTTGCACTTCATAGAGCGCACCACTAATGCGGCACCACGTAGACCGCACAACACAAATTGCACAACATAGCTCGCACCACGTCATTTGCACCACATACGTTGAATCGCATAAATTTCTGTCTAAAAAATACTCGGATCTACCCCCCTCCACCCCCTGGATTTCACAGTCCCCCCTTTCAAACCGCAACTTACATATGATTCTGCTTCATCGCCCATCCTAACTCATACCATCCCAGGCAGGCCTGTATCGCCACCCCCACCGGCATCCTTTGGAAAATACTATGCGCGCGCACTCGCTTATCAAAAACAATCCGATGTCAAAAACCCAATGCCGAAAAACCGGACGAAGAGCACACGCGCGCGCCATCGCGTGCGCATTTCAAAATCGAGGGTATGTTTTTTGGTTTTATGAGGTTTGTGTGCTACAAAAAAAAGGTTCGGGCGTTGGCGAATTCTTAAGTCGACCACGATTCTGCAACATGCTCATAATAGTGTACACACCGTGCCTCGCGCGCGCGCATGTCGAAATAGTTCGAACGCCCTTGCGCGCGTGCTCTCGTGAGAAAAACCTTCAAAGACCTGAGGTGTCGCAGGGAAGTCAAAATCGAGTACCCCGGGAAAAATGTACAACACACATAATTTCGCAACAGGAACTCTCAAACAAAAATGCAAGCGCCTGCGCTTCTGCGAATTCTAAGGGTAACCATGGGTTCTTCAACATCACACTGATATTCTGCCAACGGGGTTTCTCGCGTTGCATGCCCAAATCATTCGCACGCCCTCGCGCGCGCGCTTGGGGGCACGATCCGTGTCAAATAAAACCATGCGGGCCATTTTCGCGAGTCGGCCGCGCGCGCATGTCGAACTTTTTCCACAGGCGTCCATCACCGACGCGAGGACGCCGTCATCCTCGTCGGCGTGATCAGCATCGGCGCCGTCACTGGCCGTGCCGCCGTCGCTGTCATCACTGTCACCAGCATCGATACGACCATCATCGTGCCTATCGTTGTCGACGTTGTCATGAGTCTGCTACCGCCCAAATCGCCGACTCGCACGGAAGTGGCCGCTAGGATGCGCCCAGCGGTCAACGCCACCGCGGTCGCGTCGGTCGCGCCAAACTACTTGGCCGTTTCGCGCGCGCATGCGCGGGCTGGCGAGGCCGCAAAGATGCACCAGCCAACGCCAAGCACGCATCGCAATCGTCGCCGCGAGGATTTTGCAAAACCACCTGCGGGTGGGTATTTGGGATGGTTGCGTGAGCAGCGGGACTTGCAACCCCGAGTTCAGCTAAGTGAGTTGCACCGCGTAGGCAACAACGCAGAAATTGCAACTCATAGTTCGCACGACCTAAATCGCACAACACAAAGTGCACTGCACATATTCTCGTGCCTTGGAAGAAGTGATGAGATTCTACTCCCATCCACCCAATGCGACTACCCCCCCTAATTTGCATACCAGTATGCCCCGTCTGCCCATCCAAAATGTGAACAAAAATCATCCCAGCGAAACCAATATCGACCCCCCCCCGCTTCACTCCGCACAAGGAACGTTATACGCGCACACCCCCTGACCACAATTCATCAGTCGTCGGGAACCTCATTTTTTCGGAACCCGAAAACATGCACACGCGCGAGTCGCCGCGTGCATGCAAGAATCCTTCAAAAACCTTGGGCGTCGTGAAGATTGCAAAGCCGAGTGCCAAGAACACACGCACACAAGAGACGCATGGCTTTGCAACAAAGATGCTTTAAAAAAATGCGCTCGCGATCCTGATTCATCAAGGGAACCACACGTTTTTTAGAGTTTTACGGAATGCTGCCAAACGGGCTTCGCGCACGAATGTCAAAATCGTTCGAACGCCGTTGCGCGCACGCTGTCGCACGATCCCTTTGCAATAAACTTAACGAAGTGCACGCGCGCACGCCGAATGCCACCAAAAACCGTCGGTTCCATATCATTTGCAAAAACCGAATGTCCCGAAACGATGTACAACAGATGGTTTCGCAACGCGCCTCTGGCGTCGCATGCCGAAATCATTCGCACACCTTTGCGCGCGCGTTGGGGGGGGCACGATCCGATCCGTGCCCATGCGGGCCACCCTGGCGCGTTGGCCGCGCGCGCATGTCGAACTACATACAAAACCTTCATCACCGACGCGGCGACGCCGTCATCGTCGTCGGCGTGACCAGTACCGGCGCCCGCACTGGCCTTGCCTTCGTCGGTGCGAACATCGTCACCAACATCGCCACGAGCATCATCGTGTCTACCATTATCGACGTTGCCATGATACCGCGCCCACCCAAGTCGCCGACTCGCACTGAAGTGCCCGCTGGGATGCGCACAGCGGTCAAATCCACCGCGGCCGCGTCGGCGGCGCCAAAATAGCTGGCCGCGGGGATGTTCCAGCCAACGCCAAGCATGCATCGCAATCGCCACCGCATGGGTTTTGCAAACCAAGTTGCGGGTGGATGGGTGGGATGTTTGCAAGAGCATGGGTTGTGTCAACTCGTTTGTTAAACCAATCGCACCACATAGATTGCACCACAAAACGTTGCACCGCATAGACGACACCGCGTGGATTGCACAAGGCAGAATGCCCCACATCAATCATCAGTTCTAATAGAAAAATGAAGTGTGGCACCCCCGACCTCCACCCACCCCCATGTTTTATGCGTACCCATCGGGCGCGCGCAGCTTAGATATAAATTTGGCCAATCGCTCATTCGTTGAAATCGAGCTATATAAACTGAGACCATCCTAACTAAGCCGGGTTCCCCCCATCATCTCTGCAAGGAAAATATACCGCGCAAACTCGTCCATCGAAAACCAGATGGTTACAGTAACCATTGAAATGAGCATAATCAACACAGGGACGAAACGCACGCGCGAGTCGTCGCGCGCGCAAGCCGAAATCGGTCCAAAATTTTTGGTTCAGCGAGGAATTCGACATCGAGTACCCCGAAGACATATGGTTATGTAACATGGCTTTTCAATTATGCCCTGACGATTTTGGACTCGTTCGTCCAGAAATATCGTTTGCATGTTGAGCTGTTCACAACACTTGACAAAATGATCCTCTCGCGCGCGCATGCCAAAAACATTCGCACACCACGCGGGCCAGTGGCGCCCGTCGGCCGCGCGCGCACGTCGAAATCATCCAAAAACATTCATCGCCGACACGTGGGCACCAGCCTCGTCATCGGCGTGATCAGCATCGGCGACATCATTGGCCTCGCCGTCGTCACGAACATCATCGTAGCATTCGCGTCACTCGTTGTCGACGTCGCCATGATATCGCGACCGCCCGATTGACCGACTCGCGCTAACATGCCCGCGCGTCAGCACGTCCTGCGATGTGCGCTGAAAAATCCCCAGCGGTCATCGCCACCGCGGCCGCGGCGATCGCGCCAACCTAGCTGGTCCCTCTGCGCGCGAACCTGCGCGCGCTTCTGCAGCGATGTGCCAACCAGCGCCAAACAGTCATGGTAGTCGCCGCCGCCTGGGTTTTACAAGCCGAATTGCGGGCGGGTGGGTGGGATGATGCGCGAGCAATGGAATTAACAACTCAGCTGCGAACGAAAAGTATTTGCGCCACATAGGCTGCGCCGCAGATAGTGGCTTACATGATTGAATCCCTTCGAACCCCAAGAATTCGATTCCTGCGAAAATCGCCGAAAAAAAAAACCTTAGGTTGTCAAAACTACTGGGGGAAACCCGCAGGAGCAGGCCCCCACCTCGGGGCCCCGCCCGCCCGCACCCCCATCACCACCCACCTCCCCGCGACGAGGCGGGGTGGCTCGCGCTTCACCCCCGCAAACCCATAGTCCATGCGCACGACAGACAAGGCAGACCAGTTTCAGCAAGTCCCCGCGCCGGCGCCCGCGCCGGCCCCCGCCCTCCACCTCCCTCCCTCCTCACCCTGCCTCCGCCCCCGCCCCCCCTCGACGACGGAAACGACGACAGCGACGACGGCGACGGCGACGACGACGACGACCGACGACGACGACCGACGACGACAACGACGACGACGACGACGACGACGACCGACGAACGACTCCGACGACCGACGACCGACGACCGCAGACCGACGACTGACGGTCGCAGACCGAGAACCGACGACCGACGACCGACGACCGCAGACCGACGACCAACGCCCACGCCCACGCCGAGGACCGACAACCGACGACCGACGCCGACATCGACGATCGACGACCGACGACCGAGGACCGACGACCGCGGCAGCCCCGGCGCGTTGCTGGCAAGAGGCCGCCTCCATGTCGCCGGCCCACCCGGCGACGTCGGCCTCCGCAGGGTGGCGGCCCGAGGAGGGGGGAACGGCGCAGCAAGGATGACACGCAACGAAAGTACCCCATAACCGTTTGGGAGGGGACCAAGTTAGGAGGGCCAAAAACATTGCGAACGTTTTCTCGTTCGGCAATTCGGCATTGGGCGGAAGGGGGGAAGGGGGTCTGGCTCCAGCATCATCAGCATCATTAGCATCATCATAATCCTCATCATCCTCATCAGCATCGTCATCATCAGCATCATCAGCATCATTATCCTCATCAGCAGCAACAGCATCATCATCATCATCATCATCATCATCATCATCATCATCATCAGCAGCAGCAGCAGCAGCATCAGCATCAGTATCAGCAGCATCATCATCTTCATCAGCAACAGCATCATCATCAGCATCATCAGCATCATCCGCATCATGAGCATCATCATCATCATCATCATCATCATCATCCTCAGCATCCTCCTCATCAGCATCATCATCAGCATCATCATCGTCGTCATCATGATCGTCATCAGCCAGCATCATCATCATCATCATCATCATCATCAGCATCATCATCAGCATCGTCAGCATCATCAGCATCATCATCATCCTCATCATCCTCATCATCCTCATCATCATCAGCATCATCGTCAGCAGCAGCATCACCGTCATCATCAGCAGCAGTATCATCATCATCAGCATCATCATCAGCATCATCAGCAGCATCAGCATCATCAGCATCATCATCATCCTCATCATCCTTATCATCATCATCATCAGCAGCAGCAAGATCATCATCAGCAGCAGCATCAACATCATGTTCAACATCATCATCGTCATCATCAGCATCATCATCAGCAGCATCATCAGCATCGTCATCATCAGCGTCACCATCACCATCAGCGACAGCAGCATCATCCTCATCAGCATCAGCATCATCATCAGCAGCATCAGCAGCATCATCGTCAGCAGCAGCATCATCAACATCATCATAAGCATCATCAGCAACATCATCATCACCATCAGCATCATCAGCATCATCAACATCATCACCATCCACAGCACAATACGGACCGTTGCCAGGACGACGCGAGACCAACAACTGTGCGGAGTTGTGCGCCATCGTTCAGGCGCTGCGGCCAACAACGGGGCGAGTACGAATTTGGACGGACTCAGATATGGCCATCCGTGGATGGCAGAGATCACACCACAACCCGTCTGAACGACAGCGAGCCAACAGGCACATATGGGACGAGGTGCATCTGGCGCTGCAGAAGCGCAGCCCTGGGCTCGAGGACCCAGCTGCGCTGGGGGATCTGCGCCACATCCTGGCACAACATGGAGGCCGACGAGCAGCGTAGGCTGAACCTCGCCGAGGAGGCCCGGCACGGCAACGCTGTCGGGGACGACCTGGCTGAGCGAAGCGCCCTGTTGCACGTGCGAATGGGCGAGTGCGACCGCCTCGCCCGTGTGGGAACGCCTCCTCCGTGCCCACTCTGATGCTGTCGACAGAGATCCGTCCACCCAGATCCCCGAGAGGGCGGAGGCCAAGGAGAGGAAGAGTCAGCAGGGTAGTGAGTTGAGCCAGGCCCTCTCCTCCTCCCCGCAGAGCCTCCTCGCCTCCCGCAGTCGTTGGAAATGGAGGACGTGCAACGAGGCAATCAGCGAGCTATCAGGGTCCCTGGCCTTAAAAGGTTGGCTCTGTGTATGTAAGACCACGGCCCCTGGGGCTCAAACGGACCAACGGATCGGGGGCTAACAACACAGGATCCAAATAGGCAGTAGAGCGGTGCATCACACGCACACTATGGAATATGCAGAGCATTGTTCCACATGGCCGTGCAAGATGTGTGGCCGTTGGGCCAAAGCGTCGGACGGGGGGGAGCATCAAGGGGCTGTTCGACCCTTGTGCGCCTCCCACAAAGACTCGGACGTATGTACTTTCATGCCTGTCTAAAGGCAAAGTTTTGCCGCACAAGAGCCCGAGGCCTCACAGTTTTCGGAATCTCCTGGGGCCTCAGGGACCTGTGTGCCGCGTTGGGGGCCCCAAAAGCGCTTCTGGGCCCCCGAGGCGGCAGCCGTCGTTCTGGCGAAACTCAACATCGTCGTCGCCAAATTCTCCAGAATTCTCCTCCTCCTCCTCCTCCTCCTCCACCTCCTCCTCCTCCTCCTCGCTGGCAAAGCCCGTGAAGAGCCTCTCCCCTCCCTCGGGGGCTGCCTCGGCCTTGGCCTCCTGGGACCCTGGGACCCCGCCTCCCGTCCCTCCTCCCCCTCCTCCTCCTGTGGCCCCTCGCGAGACTCCGAGGGCCCACGTCTGGGCGATGATGAATGGCCAGCGCCGATGTACGATTTGCCGCATCCGCGTCCGCACGTTCAAAGCATATGAGGAGCGATGCAGTGCAATGGATTGCCATGGGCACTGCCCCCAGATGTCCAGCCTGGCCTCCAACCCCAGGGGGCATAATTCATTATATTACGGGCACCTCGAACAGCCGACAAGTTTTCCGGTGTGCCACAAGTGTGGTTCCTTAAAGAGGGCAATTCGAGAGGTTTGTCTGGTGATTGTAAGTTGAGACCGCCCCATAATGGGGCTAAGCTGCAGCTACAGAGAGCACAGTCTGGCCGTCACCCCAAGAGTGCCGCCGCCAGCCCGATTGTGCTCAGTCTCCCTCCCGTGCCGCTGGCGCAGCTGCTCAGAGAGGCAGCTCAAGCCCAGGCGCAGACAGGCCCACACCAGGGATGAGGCCTGCCCACCGTCCTGGCGTTCTCTACACCAGGGGTGGACAGTGCCGAGTCGTCCTGGCGTCGCCTCATTCTCTGTGTACTTTTGCGTGTGTGCGAGCGCGCCCCCCGCACGCGTGTCAGGCACCCCGACTCAGGGGGAAGGAGAGCTCATTTCTTTCTCCTGCAGCATTGGCCGCAGCTACGCCTTGGCCCGGTGCAGGTTCGATCTGGGGTTTGTTTCTCGCTCCGACTGGCGGTGCTGGTGTCCCGCAGCCAGCCCTAGTACCCGAGCTTTGGGGTACCGCCAGCCAGGCGAGGCATGCCGTCCTTTTCACTGCAGAGTGCTGTTTGGCGCAACCTCTTTGCTGGGCACGGGGGTGGACTTTGGGCTCCCTTGCCCACCCTGACTGCTGCCCAAATCCACCTTCCCACCTCCCCGCACAGGCGGCGGAGGAACGGGATTGTGGCCAGGTGTGCAACGACACATCTGGGCCCAACTGAGTACTGTGCGTGTGTGCGTGCGTGTGGTCCTGCACGCGTGTCAGGCACCCCGCCTCAGGGGGAAGGAGCGCTGCACACTCTTCTGCGGCACAGGGCTGCCGCTTCGCCTCAGCCCACCGCTCTCCTGGAATCAGAGCTTCTTTCCTGGACTGACGGTGCTGGTTACGCAGCCAGCCCTAGAACCCGAGCTTTGGGGTTCCATCAGCCAGGCGACAACTCCACGGGGGCCTCTGAGCACGGGGGTGGACTTGGGTTGCGAGTCCGCCCCGACAGTGGCTCTGCCCCACTTCCCCACCCCCCACGATCGTGGGCGGTGGCGGTACAGTGCTGCTGAGGCCTGGTGTGCAAGGCCACACCAGGCCCCAGCACTGAATTCAGCGTCGGCAGCGCACTGCCGTCTCAGCAGCACCCACGGCCGCTTTGGAGAACAACTGGTGGCCCAGTGCCACGAGGTTTCGGGTTAGGGTCGGGTCGGCCAACCCTGAGCCTCCCCATTAGCCAAGTGACGGTCCTCCTCCTCCTCCTCCTCCTCCTCCTCCTCCTCCTCCGCCTCCGCCTCCGCCTCCGCCTCCGCCTCCGCCTCCGCCTCCTCAACATCATCATCATCATCATCCTTCTCCTCCACCTCCTCCTCTTCCTCCTCCTCCTCCTTCTCCTCCCCCCCTCCTCCTCCCTCCTGCCTCCTCCTCCTCCTCCTCCTCTCCTCTCCTCCTCCTCCTCATCCTCATCATCATCATCATCATCATCATCATCATCATCATCATCATCATCATCATCATCATCATCATCATCATCATCATCATCATCATCATCATCATCATCATCATCATCATCATCATCATCATCATCATCATCATCATCATCATCATCATCATCATCATCATCATCATCATCATCATCATCATCATCATCATCATCATCATCATCATCATCATCATCATCATCATCATCATCATCATCATCATCATCATCATCATCATCATCATCATCATCATCATCATCATCATCATCATCATCATCATCATCATCATCATCATCATCATCATCATCATCATCATCATCATCATCATCATCATCATCATCATCATCATCATCATCATCATCATCATCATCATCAATCATCATCATCATCATCATCATCACATCATCATCATCATCATCATCATCATCATCATCATCATCATCATCATCATCATCATCATCATCATCATCATCATCATCATCATCATCATCATCATCATCATCATCATCATCATCATCATCCATCCGCCGCCTCCTCCTCTCCTTCGTATTGTTCTTCGTTGTATCATTCATACTATGGCTCGTCGTCTTCTTCTCCTTCTTCATATGTTTCTTCTCCTCCTTCTTCCTCCTCCTCCTCCTCCTCCGCATCTTCTTCCTCCTCTTCATCTTCCCCCTCTTCCTCCTCCTCCCTCCTCCCCCCTCCTTTTCCGCCTCCTCCTCCTCCTCTTCCTTCTCCTCCTCCTCCTCCTCCTCCTCCTCCTCCTCCTCCTCCTCCGTCTCCTGTCCATCCCTCGTGTGTAGCCAGAAGGGGCGCACCTCGACCCGTCAGCCACAGGAGCCAAGCCCGATGCTTAACAAATTTGACAACACCTGAACTCGTCCCGGACGGCATGATCGGCTAGGCAGCGGAAGCGCGAGGACGGAGAGCGCTGAGCAGGAAATGGGCAGCGACAAGGAAGGCGAGCGGGGGAGAAAGAGAAATCAGATGCTGCTTCTCCGGGGCGGAGCATGGGGTGGCGAGAGCCTCATGGTCGGCGATTTCCTTGGTCATCTTGGCTGCGGTAGCTTCGTACTTCTCGATGTCCGCCTCGTCGGCAGTGTTGCCACCGCCGCTACAGTCGTCGTCGTCGGCATGCTCGTCGTTATGACCGTCGCCGCCGCCGTTTGCGTCGTCGCTGTGGTCGTCATTATGAGCGTGGCTCTCGTAGTCGGCCTCGCTGTCGCCATGACTGTTGCCGTCCTCGTCAAATTCCTCCTCCTCCGACCTCCGACGTCCGACCACCGATGTGCTTTTCCCGCCCCCCCCCCTTCGTCTGTGTCGTCGCTCCTCCCCCTCCTCCTCATCCTCCCCATCCTCCTCCCCCTCCCCCCTCCTCCTCCTCGTACAAGTCATCCTCTTATGATTCATATTAGTGTTCGTATCAGTAGTGTGCATCGCATCATGCGTAGCAGTATTATTCGCAGTATGATTAACATTCTCCGTATGCTTAGGAATCGTCTTATTATCAATGGATTAATTTACTGTTCGTGTGATTAATATTCGTAGTCTTATAATGCTTAGTGTGTGCCGCATTATGATTATTACTAGCTAGTTCTTCTTCGCATAACGATTATTCGTATGAGTATGTGTGTTCAGTCATCCGATTATTAGTATTGGGAGTCGTTTTCCTCTTTTCGGGTGAACCGTGGTATTGCCCTTAGTCGCAGTATTCGTCTTATCAGCAAAATTAGTTATGTGATTGCTGCTAGCGTTATTAAGATTCGGCTTCTTTTTTCATCGCAGTAGTATTGGTAGTATGGTTAGTTGTCTTACTCTTACTACTACATTTCGCATTCGTGGTATCCGTAGTCATATAAACCATGTTACGTATTAGTGTCAGTCTGCTTCGTCATCCTCATATTCGTGATAGGTGTCGTCTGGTTACCCGTAGTACCCTTCATAGTAGTACGTCTCTTTTTGTTGTATGAGTACAAGTCTGAAGTTCCTTATTCGCGTTACCGATAGTACTAGTATGCTGCATAGTATGCTTGGTATTAGCGCTAGCAGTCGCATCAGTATTGCTTGCACTGCTAATCTTATCATTATGCGTACGATTCACCTTATGAATCGCCGTATTATTCGTCCGAGTAATACTCGTATCATTAGTATTACTAGTATTGTTAGGATGTGTCTTCTTAATATTGCTGATAGTATGCATAGAACTACTCATACTAGTCTTAGTTGTGTCAGTATTCTTAGCATGCGTGTTAGTATCCTTGGTAATTCGTCGCACTCCTCGTCCTTTCACCTTTATGATTGTAAGTATTGTTATTGTTACTCTCTTGCTCCTGCTCCTCTTCCTCCCCTCCTCGTCCTTCTCCTCCTTCCTCATTCCTCTTACATCCTTCCTCCACTATCCGTCCTCACTCCTCCTTCCTCCTGCCTCCTACCTCCTTCTCCTCCTCCTCCCTGCTCCCCCCTCCTGTTCCGCCTCCTCCCCGTCCTCCGCCTCCTCCTCCTCCTCCTCCTCCGCCTCTTCCTCCTCCTCCTCCTCCTCCTCCTCCTCCTCCTCCTCCTCCTCCTCATGCCCCTCCTCCGCCTCCTCATCCTGCCCTTCCCCCTCCTGCTCCGCGTCCTCTTCCTCCTCCTCCTCCTCCTTTTCCTCCTCGTCTGCCTCCCCCTCCTCCTCTCACCCTCCTCCTGTTCCCCCTCCCCCTCCTGTCATCCCTATTCCTCCTACCCCCCTCCTCCTCATCCTCCTCCTCCTCCTCCTCCTCTCCTCCTCCTCCTCTTCTCCTCTCCTCTTCCTCCTCCTCCTCCTCCTCATCCCCCTCCTCTTCCCCTTCCTTTTTCCCCCTCCGCCTCCTCCTCCTCGTCCTCCTCATCCTTCTCTTCCTCTGCCGCTCCTCCTCTTCAGACTCATCCGCCTCCGTTTCCTCTTCCTGTTCCCCGTCCTCCTCCTCACCATCACCACCATCATCAGCATCATCATCATCAGCAGCATCAGCAGCAGCAGCATCATCAGCATCACCCGCATCAGCTTCATCATCACCACCACCACCATCAGCAGCAGCATCATCATTCTGCGTTTCTCCTCGCACGTTTTCCCTGCACGCAAGTGCAGCGTGAGTCGAACATCACGGCCCAACTCCGTGGCATGCGCGCTGTGTTTCCCAGCGACCCCGCATTACATATCCCACCAAGCACATGGGCCTAAAGAGTAGCACCCCCCTCAGCCGAGGTCTGGCCGCAGAACATGCTGGAGCAACTCGCCATACCAGCGGATTGTCGGCCCAGAGTAAGAACCACTTGGTGTACATCGCAAATCGATTGCAAAGGTACTAGTCGCAAACAAAAAACTGCGAAGCAAAGCCAAGACTCAGTCATAGCGAATCAAGTTCTATGCTAACCCGATTCCGACCAGAAGTGCAGCACGCAGCTGACGACTACGGTTTGGGTTTGCACGCACAGGGGCTTCCCAACACGCGATACACTAACCACTCAAGCGTCGCAAAGCACCAAGACATGCAAAACGATTAACATCTTCGGCAAGTTCGATTCCGAATCAAGTAGACGAGCACCTGGAGATCAACGGATCCTGAGCTAAAGTATCCGAAAAAACGGCTCGCGAAAGGAAGCCGAACATACTTTAAGTAGCGTGTGCCAGTTAATCCCTACCGCTGAAAAAAAGATGTCGATTGGTGCGTCGCATATGCATGGGCATGCTGTCTCTGCTCACATACCCAATTAAAGCAACAGCGAGATTCCCATGAGTCCCTACTTTGATCATGTTGATGCCCCCTAGTCGTAACCTCTCCTGGAAGCCAAGTCGGTAGACCTCCAGGTGTCTCAGATTTCCCAAGCCGCGCCTGCTCGCAGTTGGACTGGATGCACTTGCACCACGCGTTGCCAGGATGCCGCAATCAATTCAAGAGTTCTTGAGAACCGCCTGCAGCCCGAAAGCTACTGATGCACCTGAGACCATCCCGAAACGCGCTGCTTCACTACAAAATAATGCTACTACGCTCTGGCCCAATCCCCCAAGACGCTATCAAAGGTGGTCCACACAAATGTTCCGCCACCTGTCGATTCCCGGACCCGCGCGCACCCCGCAACATCGGCATCTGTCCACATGGTTATGCCCCTGGGACGTCTTTGGTGCAAAAAATAACCCTCACACCTCATATGGCTATTGAGGTACTTGCCGATAATGGAAAGACTGTTCCATGCTCCATCAGGCTGGGGCGGACATAGAACGTGCAGGCTCGTTTATTGAGAAATGCATATCCGCTCGGTCCTGCGCTCGATCATTTACCCTGGTCCATGATATGGCAGGGTCTCCTCAGATTCTCTTTCGTACGCCTGATTTGCATGAGGCGTTGCACACCTCATTTTGCACTGCCCCAAGCCTCTCTGGAAAGTATTTCAGCACACCCTCGACCCGTTTCATACCACGACCTATCCGGGTTCCATTCCACGATTCGGTTAGGGCCCGTGATCAACTTCAAATATGTGGGCCCTGGCCCACGTCTGCCCAGCGTTGCCTTCGACGCGCGTTCTTCGCACATCTCCTTCGAACCACTCCAGATCAACACCAGCCCCCAAGAGAGGAAAGACGCCCCTGTGCACTATCAGCCAGATTCTGCTTGCAATAGATTTGGACGCACATGGTGACGCTGTCCCGCTGGTGAAGCCAGCATTGCGCGCGAAATCCACCCACTATACTCTCAGCTGCTAGCTGCGCCCCGAGTGCCACACATGGACCTTGACAATCTGCCACACATGTTAAGGTTACGATCTCCTCCGGGCAATGCGATGAAAATGTTTGCTCATGCGTTGGCGCAACACTATGCTCGCGTAACATCCATAGACCCCAGCATGAATCCACCCTCGCGGCCCCCTCGATCATCGCCTATCCCCTCGGCAAATGCTATAGAGACCGGCAGCTTTTGAGCCCCCAGTGGCGGGGCGGCTGAAAATATATCATTTCCTTTGGAAATGCAGTCAACTTGCTGCGCCACCAGCCTCAGTCGTCACGCGGGATTGGCCTCGTCGCCCTCGACGCTGCTTGTCCAACTTGCGCCCATGGGATATTTGCCAGCCCCTGCCCAGCACGGCCCCCCCATTTCATTCCCACACACCTCACGCCCCCTAAATTGCCCCACGCGCACACGAACGCACACACACACACATACAAACACAAACACAAACACAAACACAAACACACACACACACACACACACACACACACACGCCCCACTCCAAACTATGAACGAGAGTTCCGGATCAAGCTCGCCCCCTGATACGTCGCCCCGCGCCCGCACTTCACATCCATCACGATGAACCACCCACGCGTCCGCCCTGGCAAATGGCATCACTTCAGCAACGCCCCCACATGCCTCGCATGCCCCTGGGATATCGGCCCCGGCGCCGGCACGCCCCGCAAATCCACTGACGTGGCCGGGTGTCCTGGATAACCCAATAGTAGGTGAACATGGCGGCGATGTTGCGCGCTCCTCTGCGGGCCTCTCCTCCGCACCGCTCAATTAATCTCACTGACATCTGCGTCCTAGTCGGGGGTAATTCTGCGCGGGCGCGAACGCCGCGCGGGCCCTGCACTTCCCGCGGGCTGGGCGCCAGAATCATTCACGGCATTCCTGGCCCAAATAAGACAACCCCTCAAAAAACTCTCGCGTCGTCCGCGCCCGACTTCGCCAATTTCCATTTTCTCGCCCGGCCCGCGCCCAGCGGCTACTGGGCCACGCGCTTCGATGGCGCGCCTCAACGGTCATCTGCAATCGCCTGGGCAACCGAACCTTCGAATATAGCGCGACGTAGCCGGTCCAAATACACCTCTGACACTCTCGCCCTGCCTCCCCCGGCTCACTCAAAACGTCGACGCCGGCCGTGGAATCTCGCGCCGAGGTCGCCCACCCCGGCGCTGGAGCTATGAATCGTGGACCTCGCGAGTTCCTCGACGAGCATCTCCTCCCGCGTTCTCGGGCCACGACGGCCCAGGTCGCATCGACGGCCCAGGCCGCCATCGCGTCTGCGCTGGCGACGCGGCCCAGCCAGAAGCCCCCGAGAGGAGTTCAAAGAGTAAAACC